AGAGGCCCCAAGAACATGGAGCAAATTGAGTCAATCTTCACACTGGAGCTCCTGAAAGGACAACAGATGGGATGAGGGGCTTCCCCGCATGTTAATCCTCACTTACATGCAATAGAGGGGAAGAGCACTTTTGCTCAGAGTTGGCATGTGCATAGTTCAGAGGCCCCAAGAACATGGAGCAAATTGAGTCAATCTTCACACTGGAGCTCCTGAAAGGACCACAGATGGGATGAGGGGCTTCCCCGCATGTTAATCCTCACTTACATGCAATAGAGGGGAAGAGCACTTTTGCTCAGAGTTGGCATGTGCATAGTGTCAGGTACAGTAGTCAGGTAAGCAAACTGACCGCCATCACTGACTTAGAGCATAAAGAACACTCTCTAGGCTTTCAGTCATGTTTCACGTTCAGTTTTCCTCCTGCTGTCCCAGGGCATTTGTGAGACTGCTGACCTCCAAACACAGAAGGACACTGAAGTCTGAGTGGGTTATTTGGTCAGAACACTCTCTAGGCTTTCAGTCATGTTTCACGTTCAGTTTTCCTCCTGCTGTCCCAGGGCGTTTGTGAGACTGCTGACCTCCAAACACAGAAGGACACTGAAGTCTGAGTGGGTTATTTGGTCGTCCCCTTCCCTCCGTATGAGAGCAAAGCCCTATAGTTCAATTCTGATGCGGTACAATTAAAGAGACACTCATGATGTGAAGTAATCATTCTTTCGGAACCTTTTTTATAAGATTCCCCAGGTCTTTTCCATAAATTTGAATTTCTCATGGATGTTTCACCCCTGAAATCAGATGATCACAGCACTAGAGGCACTGAGAGGGCCAAGGAGCAGGGGGGAAGGAGCCAGGGCTTTACTGGTTTGTTTGGAGGCCTGAAAAAGCTGCCATTGAAATCTTTCATCCTTCTGTAATCCAAAGCAGACCTTATAGTCAATACTCTCCATTAAAAAAATCACAAAAACCCTTTTTGGTAAATGAATATGGCAACCAAGAATGACAATTTGAGGTTTATGGTGAGTATGGATTCACATACTGAGAAAAGGGTCGTGTTTTCAACATCCTTAGTGGGATGAATGCAAAATAAAATTTAAATCCTTTGCTAAACAGTCATCCTATGTAGCTCTCTTGATTTGAACAAGATTTTAATTATCAAAAAAAAGTCAAATTTGATTAAAAATGTTTACTCTAAAATACAATCCCTCCTCAGCACATGTGATTCACCACTCTCGGAACATATTCATGGGAGTTTATAAGGACTATGAATATTTCATATAAAATAACATTTATTGCAAAGATTTAAAAAAACTAGATCAGTGGAAAACACTTATGAAATTTAAGAAGAAATTCTATAATATTTCAGCAACTGATTCCATAGTAAAGCCACATTGGTGATGCCCAGTTTACGCTTTGCAAAGGTTAAGATTATCATGCTTGTTTAGCTTTTAGTTTTGATGAATCTACCAGCAAAGGGGATTGTGTTTGACTGTTGCATTTGTATGAATTAGGGTTCAGGAAAGAGTGGAAGAGGAAAGGCTGCTTCCCACACTCAATCACTGGAAACCCTTTAAAGCTGGTGGTGTCTTTGAGGTTAAGTAAAAAGTGACTGAAATTAGGCTAGGTGGGGACAGAGGATGATCAAAGATGATTGGAGTATAAATTTATTGTGCTCTCACACACCGGTTAATTTTCCAGATTTGGGATGAATTATCTACTTTCTAGGCTGTACTGTTATCATTACCCTCCAATAGCTGCTTTCTAAACCACCTGGTGATCTAAGACAAGACCTTGACCCTGCTGTGAAGTCATTTAGTTATAAAGGAAATAGAGCACTAGACACATTATCCTTTCCCTTTTTTGGTGACAATTTGAATGCTACTAACAGAGCCCTTCTGTCCATATTTAGACTCCTTTGGACATCAAGGAATTGGCCAGGTTTAGAAGCAGGAAGACTCAGTTACCCCACTATGAGAACAGTAGTTTGAAAGACCAACTGCCTCAAACTTTCAGAACTAAAGATATTTAGCAAAAAATATTTGAAGCTTTGAAATCATTGTAAGGGGCAAAAACTGACCTCATTGCTCATTAGGGCACACTTCAAGCATTTATAGCCAAAACCGAAGTATGGATCAGCAAATTGGTGCTAAAAATGTCTTCATTTTCTTGACTTAATGAAGCTCTTTAAGAGAAGGTTCTTGAAAATAATTTCATGAAGGAAAAAAGTCAGAACTCATTCCGTCTATTATGGTGAAGCCAATCCAGGCTTCTTTCCCTCGCATTGTGGTTGCAAAATCTTTTCAGAAGCTCGCAAGGAGCTCTAACTGTTGTTTCGTCTTTGCCAGGAGATCTCCAAGGCCTTTGCTGGAACTCAAGTTTGCTTTGGTTGCCAAAGATAACTTCCAGAAAATCGCTTCTGGGGATTTTTGGGTAAAACATTCCCTGTTTACCCCATAACAAGTGAGCAGCCTGTGCATGTCATCATCGCTGTATTCCTTCTCCCAGCAAATCTGATGCCACACTCCCAGAACCTAAGAAAATAGCTCAGCCTAGACCAGCATCTCACTCAGACTTATAAGCTGCCAAGAATGGAAAAAAGATGACACTTCAGCAGACTAGCTGTCATGTAGACATCCAGAGATGCCCGCCCCCAAAATAAAAGGTTTTAAATGTGAGACTTTTAAGATCAAACTGAGTTTTCTAAATTTTTCTAAAATGACTTTGAACAAAATATTTATCTTGAAATTTCAAATGGCATTGGAGGAGGGTGTGAAAATTTTATGTTAATTAGAAGGGCATTGGGTTAAAAAAAATTACAAAATAATGAAGATAGCCTCATGTGGAAGATGAGAAATTGAAAAATTTGTTGGAATGTAGTGATCTGTTACTGGTCAAGAGAGGGGAGTTTGGAGCCAGAGAAGGTGGACAGTCAGGCAGCTGGAGTACTAGGTCCCTGCTTTTGAAAGAGATGCTCATGTAGGAAGGAGGGAGCTAGGAGCAAAACAGGCCCTGTGCTTAGAGGAGCTAGTATACCAGGCAGTCAGGAAATCAGGAAGGTCCTTGGTTGCATGATGGGCATTGCTCTAAGAATACAGTAGAGGCTTAGACAAGGGAACTGGGACCCAAGGTTAAAGTAGTACTGCAGTGAAGTGTGGCTGTGCTCAGCCTCCTTTGCATCCAAGCCAGAGAATCTGGAGAAGTGCCTAAGCCAGCATTTCTCAACCTTGACTATACATGAGAACCCCATAGGAGTGGCTGCTTTTAAAAATGCTGATAATTAGACCCCCACTTCCAGAGATTCTGGGCTAATCCATCTGGGGTGGGGCCTGTGCACATCCATTTTTAATTTTTTTTTTTTAAGCTTCCAAAGTGACTGTAATGGTAGCCAGGATTGAGAACCACTGGCCTAAGGGACCAGGGGATGAAGCAGGAGCAACAACCACCACAATTAGATTAGACTTGGGTGGAGAAGGGTGAACAGGAGACATTCTGGTTTGGTGCAAGAAGAGCCATTGATCTGGAGCCAGAGAGCCTGGGTTCAAGACTCTGCCTCAGCCATTTGCTGCTGAGATGACATTGAACAAGTCAAATCATAGGTCCGTTTCTCATTTTTTTCCATTGGCCAAATAGTGAGAAAACCCACTTCATCACAGTGTCTTATAATTTAAAGTGAGGTGGCATATACATAGCATCTAGGCACTGGATGTGTACTCAGTAGGAACTGATCGAGTTTTTGTTGAGTTTGATAGATGATGTTGGGGTAGATGGAGTTGCTTCTCCGTGTTGTCACACTGAAAATGCTGTGGGAATAGGATGGAAGAATAGGTGCCTGGTATCTGTGAGTGAGGTGGACAGGAACAGGGAGAGATTGGAGGTAGGGGGGACTAACCAAGGAGACCAATGTAATGTTTTAGGACAAAGGTCCACAACTATGGTCAAGTTCGGCTCACCACTTATTATTGTAAGTAAAGTTTTATTGGCATGCAGCCATACCCATTTGTTAACGTATTTCCATGGCTGCGTTTATGCGACCATGGCAGAGGTGAGTACTTGGCCTGCAAAGTAAAACATATTTACTCTCTGAGTGTTTACAGGAAAAGTTTGATGACCCATGTTTCAGGATAAGATGAAAAGGCTTGGCTTGGGATGAGGTGTTTGAAATAAAATGAGAAGAGCAAGTGCTTCAAACATCAGAAGGAAGAATTGGCAAGCCATAGTGACAGATTGTACGTAGGGAGATTCTGCCATATAAAGGTGAGGGATGTAGTGTCTTTATCTCAGACAGAATGTTGCAGGACGACAGCTTTCCTGAAATCTGATGATGAATGTGAGATTTCAGTTTCCTAGATGAGAGAGATCTGGGTCTGTCCCTCCTGGCAGGGCCTGAGCCCCTGCGTGGGGTCAATCCAGGTCCTGGCCCCTGCCTCTGTTAGTAAGCCCCACAGTCTATCCATTTTTATATGGTGTATACCACCCACAGTACTCAATGCCACACTCCGAAGAGATCCAGAGACGTTCAACCCCCACAAATGGACTGAGATCATCACTTAGGACATTTTGGATGGAAGTCCCTATCCTCTGTCGCTGCACCACATGGAGCTTGACTGTCAGTTTACCTTCTTTGTTCTGAATCTTAGATGTTTTGGTTCCTAATGTTGACCATTCATCAAGTGGATTCAGAGGTTCAAATTTGATGATAAAATCATGTTTGTTGAGAAGTTTTGGAGGGAAGAGGAAGATAAGATGGTGTAAGCTAAGGTTTTGGATAATGTCTTGTTTGACTCAAATTTTAAACTCATTTTAAACCCATTTTAAACTCAAAGTGGGCAGATCAACAAATATACACATTATGGGACAGAAAGGTACCCTGTGTGTATAAATAGAATGTGTATATCCGAAAAATAGAAACCTGGAAGGAGAAGTAATAGAGGAGCAAGAATAAAGGGGCTTTATAAACAAGGGATTCTATCCAATGCTGCCTGTACCTGTCCTGCTTCTGGTTTAGTGGGGTATGTCTGGGAGAGACGGGGGGAATTTGAGTATCTGCTGTGCTTAGGCCTGCTGCTGGGTATGACTCACCCGTCCCCCCACCCACATACACACACCCGTGGTCTCCAGTTTACATATAGTGATGCCAAGTCACAGGAAAGTTAAGTGCTTTGTCTAAGGTTATTTATTACTAGGTGGAAAAACCATAATCCAAACTCAGCTCATTCTTTTTCCAAATGCCACCTTCTTACTGCTCTACTTGCTTTTCTTGGTTATCTCTCCCTCTTCCCCTGGCATTTAATATTATAATGAGGTCTCTTTTTAAATAACTGGTAGTTTAAGATGTGCTAAACTTATTTTTCATGCTTTTTTCCCCCCCTAGATGTCAGTTCTTCCTTTCTTCTCTTCTTCAAACGTTTTTTTAAGTATAGGAAGTATGTCCTGTGGATAAGCCACTGGGTATCAGGCAGTGCCACTCAAGGCGTGATCCACAGACCATTGCTGGTCTCTGCATTAGTCAGGGTTCTCCAGAAACAGAACCAATAGGGGGTGTATGCGTGTGTATTCATGTGCACACATATATGTGTGTGTATATATATGAGGGGTCTTCAAAGAGTTCTGGAAAGATTTGTATTATCTTCTAATTCTATCTTTCCATGGACTTTTGAATACCCTCATATTTACACACATATGCTTATTATAAGGAACTGGCTTACATGATGATGGAAGCTGACAAGTCCCAAGATCTTGAGGGTGAGTGGGCAAGCTGGAGACCCAGGAGAGCTGATAGGGTCGTTCCAGTCCTAGATCGAAGGCATGAGAACCAGCAGAGCTGACGGTGTAGTTCCAGTCCAGATGCCAGCAGGCTTGAGATGCAGGAAACACTGATGTTTCAGTTTGAGTCCGAAGGCAATAAAAGCTGGTGTCCTGGTTCACAGGCAGTCAGGCAGGAGGGATTCTCTCTTACTCGGGGATGGTCAGCCTTTTTGTTCTATTCAGGCTATCAACTGATTGGATGATACCCACTCACTTTGAGGAAGGATATCTGCTTTACTCAGTGTAACAATTTAAATGTTAATCTCATTCAAGAACACCTTCACAGAAACACCCAACATAATATTTGACCAAACATCTGGGTATCCCATGACCCCATCAAGTTGCTATTTAAAATTAACCCTCACAGCTCCCAAACTGTCAATGATCTGCAAAAAGATACATCTGGAACTTGAACTAGACATTTAGAAATTTCTAGGGCGATTGTGCTTTGTGGCAGTATCAAGCATGTGATCAGTAGACTTGTCTTGATGAACAGGGTAGAGACCAATTTGTTGAATTCAAGTGAGGAGTTACATGGGGGGCAAGCTCGATACTAGCCATGTGTGTGAGGGCCATATTTTTGTCCAGGATGGATGGGGTGGGAGAGGAAAGCTGATTCGTTACCACTGATAGTTTGAGAAATATGTGGGGTGGGCACAGCAGTCTACTACTGTTTACATAGTCCATCAAATCCAATGTGATGGGCTTTATGATGATGACCTGTACATAAAGCTTGAGGAGTATCCCTGGGAATGACCAGAGCCCATAGTCCAGGATGGATGGGGTGGGAGAGGAAAGCTGATTCGTTACCACTGATAGTTTGAGAAATACGTGGGGTGGGCACAGCAGTCTACTACTGTTTACATAGTCCATCAAATCCAATGCGATGGGCTTTATGATGATGACCTGTACATAAAGCTTGAGGAGTATCCCTGGGAATGACCAGAGCCCATGAGACATGACAGAAAGGTGTAGACCACATCTAACGGGGCCCGTCCTTTCACTGTCCTAACTCTCTCCCCCAATTCCACTCCCACAGGGTCAGAAAAAGCCTGAACAAAGAGGTCAGGAGCCAGAGAAATGAATAGGATAGGAATAAAAGCAAGAGTTGGGATGGATAAAATTAGAATGAGCTGTGTAAGGGGCCCGGCAACAGGGCCCACGTGTGTTAACTTCTGATCATGCAGCCTTGGGATCCGCTGGACACAGGCCACAGACAGAGCTGAGAGGGGCCTCTGGGCTCCTTTCCAGTGGCCTCCTGATTAGAAGGGGAAACTGGACAGCTCAAGATAATGTGCCTTTAAAACAGTTAAAACAGACAAACCAGAAATAACAATTCTGACATTTACGGAGCACTTCTTACATGCCAGGCACTGGGCACTGTATGAGTATTATTTTTTTCAGCCTTGGTGCCTCTTGCTGAGGCCTACACTTATTATTTTGTGTGTCTTTATTGGTGACAAATCTATAGAGTTTTAAAAGTGGGAAAACCCCTGCAAGTCTTTGAGAACTAAGTTTAGTTAAAAACATTTGGGGTCTAGCAGGGTAGAAATGGACACAGGACGTTGATAGCATTTCCCGTAAGCCCATAATTAAAGAATTATAATTTACATAAAAATATAATTGACATAAATGTGTAAAACATGGGGCTTTTGGAAGGGGATCTAGACGATGTGAACAAGCCTCATGGTGAAGCCTCCTGCTCCTCTGTGTTGCTTGCGAGTGAATCTTCACCTGGCTAAGGCTGAGGGCAAGGTCAGAGCTGCCACGTATCAAAGTACTTACCAAGGGAAGCCAAAGTTTGTTCATCGCTTGCTCCCATGTACCGCTTATAGAACAGCCCTATGTTCAGAAAATTACAGCCTTTAACACCTTCAATTACATCATCTACTCATTTTTCCTATAATATCACCTACCTTCTTCTGGAAGGGGTTGCAGGAACTCATTCATACTAAGTGCCTCCCAGGGAGAAGCTGGTGCTTTGTATTCTGGTATCTTACTTAAACCTCCCACCCACTCTTGCAAGGTTAGCATTTATGTTCCCATTTCACAGAAGAGAAAACAAGCTGAGTGTTGAAGCAGCCGTCCAAAGAACAAATTCACAGGTCTTGTTTGTTGTTAATTTTCTAGAGACCCTGGGACCCCGCTGGGTTTCCAGAGCTTCTTGGGTTCCTGCCCAAATACTCCAAAGTGCTTTCGTGAGAAAGAAGACTCCCTCAGGTCCCCAAGCACCTGTTCCTCTAAATCAGCATATAAATGCATGGCCCAGTGCAGAATCACAGATACCTTGTTTTCAGTCAGGCTGCAACACAGAACAGGGCTTAAACTTTTAGTCTTAGCTTCTTCATGTGCGATGGGGTAACTATTGCCACCTTCTTGTGTGTGATAACAACCTGAGACATTGTCAGTATGAGCTCCCTGCGTAGCACGGTGCAGATCCCTACCTAACAGGCACTACATGAAGCCTAACTCTCTGCCCTCTGATGGAAGCGACATGTTCGTCTTTACTCACCCCCGCTTGAAGGGTCGATGTTAGCTGGGAAAACACAATTGCTATTAGCTGCCTATTCTTTTTCATTCTTGGTGGAACTAATTTGGTTTTATGAAATAGGGAGACAGGTTTCAAAAGCTTGGATCGGAGCTTGTAATTGGCCAGCTCGGTGATAACACAGCCCTCATCAACCTGTGATTTCATGTCCCTCATAGATCCTGCCTGGGCCTTTGATGTGGTCCTGGGCAGTGGAATTCAGTGAGTCATATTTGTTACATTGATAGGAGAGGACCAGGAGCTTAGGCATTTAACCCCAAGGTGATTAAGAAGAAAAAAGAAGTCGTATTTGTTAAGGCCCAACGATACATCAAAAAGCCACGGGCAGAGGCCTACAGAGCACAGGCAGCCCAGGTGAATCATGCAAGGTGTAATTCATCACACTCTTTGATCCTCAAATTTGTGAGTCACAGAGGCTCTCTGGGACAGTTTGGAAGCTCAGTGGGGTCTGGACAAGTAGGAGAAAAACTCAAAGTATGGAAAAAGAGGAGTGCTTTTTTGACCAGTGGCTTAGAAGGGGTCATTTTCTAGAGATGTGATTTTTTCGCTTGGTAGCCCTGAGGTGGCCGTCAGTGTAGTTGGATCCTGGGATTTCTGCAGAGTGGAAACAGAAAGAAGTAACAGCTTTGGGTATGTCTTGCATTACTAGAGCTCCTCAACAGTAAGCGCTCATTGAGCATCTACCATATACAAGGTGATAAGGATAAGGATGCTAAGTAAGTATCCTTGGAAGATGGGGTATTTACATTAATAAAAATTTAAAAAACCTTTGGCTCTCTGAATAGCCCATATGAAAGTACATTCACGTGGACAGTGCACAGGCTCAGGCGTAATAGAGACTTGGGTGCGAATCCTGACACCACCATTCTTGTGTGACTTTGAAAGACCACTTATCTTTTCTGTGCCTCGGTTTCTCTTACACGATTGTACGATTGTTCCATGGAGTGTTGCTTGCACTCAGTTTAGTGGCAGCTGTATTTCTGGGAAAATCTTGAGATTGCTCATGCTCACACTTTCTTTTCCTTGCTGCATTAATTATTTTATTCTCTTGGCATTGATACATGCATCCACCCTTCCAGTATTTATCAGATATTATGATATGTTACCACAAAGACAAGTAAGGCCCAGCCTTTGCCCTCACTGAAGTTCCAGTCTTTCTAAGAAACATTTAGTGAAACAGTTTACCAAATACACTATGGCAGATACATATTTTCATAACACTGTGTACCGATTACTGTTGGAATATACTGAAAGATATTTTGTCTGAATATGGAGGTGATGCTTTCAAAACAGGGTTTTGAAGAATGGATAAGAGTTCATACAGGGAAAGCTCCATAAACTTAGTCATTATTATTTTTTTCTCGTTCTTTTTTCTCCCCAATCTCCCTCTTCATATTCATAATGCTTTACAGTTAAGAATGTCTACATAGAAACATGCCAAGCAGGGAGAGGAAGACAGTGCACTTAATTAGGAACAATTATATTATGATTGTCTTCTCTAAACAGCATATTAGTTTTTATCACCGTAATAAGTCATTCTGTTCTTAACTTTGTTCCCAGTTCAATCTGGATGCATTTATTTGTAACTCACTTTCCATCTGCTTTCCCTGTAAAAATGGCACTGTGAAAGGAGCCTGGTGGTATGGCAATGGGCATCTGGGGTACTGGGAGGGGTTTGGGTTGTGGTTCATTCCAGGTTAACTCTTCCCTGGTCTTTCGCACCCTCAGATGGGAAGCCGGTGTCTCTGTCGCCGCTGGAGTCCCAGGCACACAGTCCCAGGTACACGGCATCCAGCCAGCGGGAGAGCGAGAGCCTGGAGGTGCGAGTGCGGGAGGTGGAGGCGGAGAACCGCGCCCTCCGGAGGCAGCTCAGCCTGGCCCAGGGCCGGGCCCCAGCCCATCGCCGCGGCAACCACTCCAAGACCTACTCCGTGGAGGAGGGTACTGGGGACAGCGAGAACCTCCGGGCTGGCATCGTGGCGGGCAACAGCTCTGAGTGTGGGCAGCAGCCGGTCGTGGAGAAATGCGAGGTAAAGAGACAGGCACCCCGAGTCCCAGTTGCCCCCACTCCTTGCAGGTGTCTCCTGGCAGCATGACTAGGTGCCTGGAAAGGGCTGGCATTCTTGACTCAGGCCTGGGTGTGAATCTGGCTTGGTTGCTAACTTTGCTGAGTGGCCTGACAAATCGATTATCTTCTGAGCCTTAGTTTTCCCATCTGAAAAATGGGAATGTGAAGGCCTACTCCACGGAGAGTGATAGAACCAACTGCTTGTTTCTTTGCAGTTCATTTTAACATGCTTAGGGTTTCTACACCTAGTTGTCACCCTGGGGGCCCCTGTTACTTAGACTATAGTGTGAATGGTGCACCTAGAGTTGTGGCCCTGTTGGACAGTTCCCTAAGGCCTTGTTCTCACTTCATCTTATGAACAGCCTCTGCAGTTCAGAACCAGAGACTTTGTTGCTTATCTAAAGCACCAATTTGAACTTTTAGAGCTTAATGTCATTTCCCTCCTTTTGTAGTATGCTTTCTTTCTTAGAGACTATTGGGAAATTTGGAACACCTACCCACTCTCCTCTGCTACCCCTGCTACCCCTGAATTCCTGCATCTGTGCTTAAGTGTGCATTGAAAACACACACACATGTTCATTTCTTGCTTCTTCCAGTTCTTCTGGTGGAGAGGGATTAGAGCATGACTGTTAGGAGCAAGGCCTTTTGAGACAGACAAGACTGAATTTATATTCCAGCTTTGGTGGTTTCTATTGTGAACACCTGAGCAAATTACCTAACCTCTCGGAAGTTCAGGTGTCTCATCAGTAAACTTCAGGAAATAAAACCTGCTTCATGGAGTATTTGTGAGAACTAAACAGGATGGCCATATAAAGCTGTGAATAGTGCCTTGTACGTAGTATATTTTCAATTATGGATAATTTTTATTATTTTTAGTTATATACAGATATTACCTGCTGTTTCTTTATTCCATTTATTATCCATTCCAATAAATGGAATAAAGAATGTTAGACTTTACACACCCTGAAGAGATAACACTTTGTGAACTGTAGCCTGCTGTTCATGGGAATGAGACTATTAGGAATATTGGTGATAATGTTCAGTACGTCACAAGCGAATAGAGGGATTACTCAGTGATGTAGACTAAGTTTTTCGGAAGTTCAGTGGTGAGGAAGGAGACTTTAGACCAGAACACACAAGGAGAGCCTCTGAGATAGTGGGATTTCTCTTGATTTCTTAAGCCTGGTTGAAGTATGGGTTGGCAGAGAGGTGGAGAAAGGTGGAGAAAGGATATCCAAGGAGGAAAATCATGTTAGTAGGAAAAATGTGAAACAAACATGTTGTCATAGCAGGGAAGAATTCTGGATGCAGTGAGTTGGTGATTCATCCAAGCCCAGAGACCTGGGTAGGAAAGTGGTCCCCTGTATTTCCATCCTCATTCATTTATTCATTCATTCAACAAACACTTGCTACACCCGGGTTATGCATCTCACACTGCTCTGTGTGCTGGGAAACAGCATTGAACAAAACAATACAGAACTCCCTTTCTTCTGGTTCTTAGATTCTGTAGTGGGAGGTAGGGAAAGAGTTGATAAACAGGTAAATAAATACAAATGCCAGGAGGTGATAAATGCCCCATGTTTATTCAGCCCTGACTACATGCCAGGCCCACTCTGCCTTTATCTCTGACAACCACTGCCAGTGGCTTGTATGACTTAATATCTCTATTTTACATCATGAAAATGGGGATTCAGTCATGTTAACAAATTTTGTTGGTCTAGGTTGGTCTGGGGAAGGACCTGATACCAGGAATTTCTTTTTACCTGGTTGAAGACGTGTTGAATTTCTCATAGGTTCTCAGCTCTCAGGTCACAGCCATGGTGTTAGTTTAGAGTGGGTTAGTTTAGATGGGAACCCTGCTAACTAGGTGTGATGGCCCAGAGTGAGGAAAATGTTTTTTATCCGTTTACTTACATTATTTTGACTTAGGCCTACCTATGGAATTGACTAAGAATCAAGGATGTGAAAAATAGAAAAGGAAAAGGGGGCGGGGGGGAAGACACAGGTGTAACAGAAGGAGAAAATGGGTTGTGTTTTCTGGGAGATTTCTTTTCCTGCTGTAGTCTGTCTAGCCAGCAGCTTCCTGCCTCTGCCCAGTTTTTGAGAGGTACACATTCTGTTTCAAAAGGGGGGTCCTACCCTGAATCCCCTGCAAAATAGTGTGGGCAAAAGACCATTGGCTTTTGAAGCTGGGAGTCATGAATCCAAATCCTAGCCCCCTTCCCACTTAATTGTGGCTTTGAGCAAGTAACATCACTACAGTATTTCATTTTCCTTTTGTAAATTACGGATTAAAATCAAGTTCCTGCCTCATACAGTTTTCGTGGTGATAATAGATAGGTTTAGTAGTGAGATTAGAACTTGAAGGAAATTCTAAGATGGTTGTATTAGCCTTAGATTTCACTGCAGGTTATCAAAAAATCCCCAACTAGCAATGGCTTAAACAAGATTTGCGTCTTATTTCTCTTTATGTTTATGATGTCTGGATGCCATTGGGGTAGGGATATCAGTAGTAGGGAGATGGAGAATTCCTTTATCCTTTGCTGCAGCTTGCTTGACTGACATTCCCAAAGTCATCTCATGGTCCCTAATGACCATCAGAGCTTCAGCTGTGTGGTCCACATTTCAGCTGGCAGGAAAGAAGTGTTACAGGGGACATCTTGCCTTCCCTTAAGAAAACATTTTAGGAATTTCACACCTCAGTTCCTTTTAGATCCCATTGACAGAACTTAGTTGCAGGGCTCCCTTTAGGTGCCACCTGGCTGCAAGAGAGCCTGGAAAAGATAGACTTTATTCAAGACAGCCATATTCTCTGCTAATATTTTGGAGTTCTGCTACTACAATCACAATGAACATTCTCTGTCAGGTGGGTGGTTCCCAAACTTCGTTATACATTAGCATTAAATATCAAAAATGCATATCCAGGAGACCCACTCCAGACCTACTTGATTGAGAATCTCTGGGAGAAGAGCCCCAAATATGAATATTAAAAAAATATATATCCAGATGATTTGAGATAGGAGAGACTGTTTGGAAATCACTGCTTTAAGGTACAACACATGTGAGTGGTCAATTCTCTTTATCCCTGTGCTCTTTGAAAGATAAAATACCAGTGTAAAAATTCAGACTTTGAACTTATTGATTGTTATTATAACTTATTTTCTAGCCTTTTGACTTGCACCTGAGAATTAGGTTTTACTCATCTGTTTTTCTTCTCTTTCTCTGTTTCTCGATCACATTACTTCTTATACCCTTAAAAAGTTATTTTTGGTGGAATTCTGATGAACCCTGGTCTTGTTCAGAGCTTCCATATATGCATTTGAAAGTCTGGATCTGCTGCCATCTTATTTCAAAGTGTTCTCCCATGGGTGCACGTTTACCTTGAGGTGCTGGCTTCACATCCACTAGCAGTGTACTTCCACAGTCTCCATCACTTGGTGGAAAATTTTAGTGAAGCAGCCATATAGAGGCAACCAAGAAATGTCAGTCAGTGAAGTCCAAATAGAAGCCTCGCTTCATTTCTGCACTTTTCAGTTACAAGTGCTGAATCTCGTCTTGACATCCTGTCAGAGTGCACAGCCACGTAAGCAGGGACGTTGCCATCATCTGCGGTTGCAATGAAGCTTCTCTGGAGTATGACAAGCATTTGTGAAAACTGTTCTTTAACGATGCCCAGGCTGTCAGCTGAAGTAGCTGGTGATATAGACAATGTGCCCTTGCTAGTCCCTGTGTCTTTTTATTATTTCCTAATTATGTGGCTTTCAAAGAGCCACCAGATTTTATCCTTGCATAGTTCTGTTGTCCGGGCAATGTTGCTTTGGTGAAGGCCTGGTTTCTGTGTGCCTCATGACTTGGAGAAGAGTGATCCCCTTTGATCTTCACTTTTGCCTGTGCGTGAACAGGTGTGTGTATTTTTCTTGCCTCTCTGGTTAGGGTCTATTCTGGACGTCAGCTATGGAAGAGCAGGAGAAATCACTGGACCTGGCGTCACAGCTCCTGAACAGGAGTCTTCCTTTGCAGCTCACTGGTCACGTGACCTAGGACAATTCGATTACTCTTTTGGAGTCTATTTCATCATTATAATATGAGAATAATACTATGTTCTTCCCAGTGCAATTGTGAGGATGAAATGAGATAGTGGGCAGTAAGCGAGGCAGAACTGAAGCCCTTTTTATGACCTGGCCTCGGAAGTCACTAAGTGTCACTTCTGCTGATAATGTATTCTGTTAGTTGAAATGATCTCAAAAGCCCACTTGCTTTCAAGGGGGAAGCAGCACACACCCCATCTCTCAATGGGAGTAACATCAAGGAATTTACGGATATACTTTAAAACTGCCATGATGGATATTGTTATTACAGAAAATGGATAAATGGTACCCCCTGATGTCAGACCACCCCTTAAGCAAGTATCTATTTTTCCTTCTGCTCCTTGCATTGAGCTTCATTTCTCAGTGGTGATGTAATAGTAATGAAAGTTAACATTTGCGTAGCCCTTGAAGTGTACCAGACATCATGCTAAAACGTTACTTAAAATATCTCGTTTGATCCACACAACAGACTTTTTTCATTTTACGGATTAGAAAACTACTGCTAGCAAAGATTACGTAATTATTTCAAGTTCACACAGCCAGGAAGAGGTAGAGCTTGGATTTAAGCCTGTTTGCTTCCAGAACCTGTGCTTTGAATCACTGCACTAAAGCTCTGGGACCTGCTCTCATCAGCTGCTGAGCTGTCTTTCTTATGCACCTGGCAGCTGTCTCTCAGGAGGCTTCAGGGTGAATCCTCATGGTATGGGGTTATCTTTCACTTTGGGGGCTGTAGCAGCGGGATGAAGGTAATCATTCCTTTTGGTCTAAGCAAGGCTGTCTGTTCTTTAAAAAGAAGTTAGATTGTTCTAAATTGCCTTCCAGATTGTGGCTGAGTTTGTTAGCCACTGGAGGTTTGGCATTTTGCTGGAGGCAT